ACAAGACCTCTTCGGCTGTAGACCGTCAGCGAGAATACCTCCTGGACATGATCCCTCCACGCTCCATTCCCCAGTCAGCCACATGGAAATAATGGGAGCCGGCCCAGCTGAGGACAGGCCCTTTGCTTTCCACGGCTCCTGGTCTAGGACACACAGACCGCCCTCCTAACAAGTTGCCTGAGACAGCTCAGGCCTTGGCTATTTAGCCTTGTGGTGGCCAGAAGAGTGTGCCACCATGGTGCCCAGGATCAGAACCAAGGACTTTCCCTGTGGGCCTTCCCTTCCTTTTTGCCTTTAGTTTGCCCGACACCAGCAGAAACTCAGACCTTGGGGCCAGCTCTGCCTGGCCAGCATGGGTGGAAACTCACCCTGGACACTGTGACACGCCCAGGCCAGGCTGGCACCAGGGGCTCCCAAAGTTGAACTGGGGTTTGTTTTCTTTCAGCTTTTCCCATCTTCACTCCCCAGTCTCTGCCTCCTCATGGCGATCTATAGGTTGAAGTTTGGGTTTTTGTGTTTTCTTTTTTAATCACTTCACGATGATGGAATGAAAAGTAAACTGTGTAGACCCAGGGTCCCTGTTGTGCACAGTGTAGTCCCTAGCCCCAGAGGGTGCTCTGAGTGGCAGCACGCAGGGATGGCGGGTGCCACTGTGGCTCCAGTTGTGTCTGTTGCTGCTTGCTACAGCCCCTGGCTTCCACACTTAGAACAAATTGCAGCCCAGACTTTGCCAGAGACTCTAAGGTTCCAGAGGGATGCTGGGCCCACCGCTGGAACCAGAGCTGGCTGCTGGGTTATTTTTGTGCTTTATTTTATTAAAATTTCTTTCCTTTCTCTCTTCGTTTTGATGGGCACAATCTCAAGGTGCCCAAGAGGCACCCAGGTAGGCGCAGACAGACCCGTCTACCCTGGGGTCAGCCGGGTGGGTTCACCTCTGGCTCCTCAGTCCACAGGGATGTCTTCGAAAGGCCAGGTCTACTTTAGTTTTATTTTCTTTCCTCTCCTGCCCCCCACTCTTTAAAAATTGGTTCCACGGTGAAAGGGCAGAAGCAGCTCACAACAGGGCGGCCTGCAGCGGTCTGCAGGGGTCCCAAGCAGCCCTGGCTTCCTTCAACACAATAGTTAGGGACTTTAATTTAAACCCTTGTTCTGCAGACCACCACCCTCTGCAGACACACCCTGCCTCCTCCTAATAAAGGCTCATTTAACCCCATGCTCACTCGTGTGCAAATCCTCCGTCGCTAAGAATTGTTTGGATATAAGGGAGTTCCAGGTTTGGGGAAATCTTTTTGTTGTGTGAAACCCAAGTTACTCAAGTACTTTTAGATTTGAGTGTGTCACTTCCCAGGGTGGATTTGGGAGAGTGAACAGACATTGACCCTTTGTGGCGGGGCAGGTGTTTACACTATATATATATACACACACTATATATATGCACTATATATATATATACACACTATATATACACACTATATATACACACTATATACATACATATATATTATATATGCAAGCATTTCTTACTTGGGTATTTATGTGCCTGGCAAGTCAGTTCCTGTTACCTCTTCTTACTGAGTGACTGGCCTTAGCTCAGTGACATGGGCCAAGGTCTGGCTCCTTAGAACAGCCACACTAGGTGGCCTCCCAGCCATTAGTCTTCAGTTCCATGTAGTCATTGATCAGATACCTGGCACCAGACATAGACTTCCACTTGAACTGATGGGGTCTGACCACCGGGCTCTGTTGGCACCTCCCTTCCAGCCTTCCATGTGGTGTGACATTCGCCTTTCACCTTATTAAGGACATGCTACAGCAGAGGCCAAAGGGTTGCTGGTGCATCATTTTCCCAGGGTGACACTCTGTGGAAGGGCCAAGTGTTGAGGTGCCTTAATTTATTGGAAAATGTTGCCCATTCCCTTTCTACTGCACTGGCCTCATAGTGACATTACAGCTAAGGGGGGGGGGCGGGGAGCACCAAGTATTTAGTAGGGTGCGGTGCCAGCTATGAAGCTCCTCCCCTCCCAAAGCTGGTTCCACCCCTATCCTAATAAGCTGGGTCCTGGGCTCCTTGCAGATCTGCCATCCTCTGCCTCCTGAGGTGGGATTAATAGCTTACACCTCATGCCTGAGTTTAAAAACTTAAGAAAAAAAGTAAAATGTATTTCTCATGGCACTTTGATGCCTATGCTTGGGAGTAGAAGATGGAGGTGATGATCCCTACTTACTGCATTGATAGCCCAGAGACAATCACAAACTTATTGATGGCTCTGGTCAGTTGGGCAATGTACCTCAGTTTCTTCCACTCGTTGTCTGGGACAGGTTTGAAGGGGCCAAGTACAAGACACCTGTGTCCATTGAACCACCCCCAGGCTCTTGTCTAGCTTGTGGAAACATCAGGAACCAAGTGTCACCTGGGTTGGGGGGGGGGGCAGTGGTCATTTATGGTATAAGAGGCCATGCGCAAGTGGGCAGGTAACTTAAGGCTACTGGCTGAAGGAGTTCCTATGAGCATCCTCGGGACCTGAAACCCCCTACACACATTAGGGAGGCCAAAACAAAGCTTGTCCCAGGCAGAGGGAGGAAGGGGGCAGGTACTAGCTGTGACATGCCAATTGTCACCTGGATGGAGCGGTTAACCTGAACTTCCACCTCCCCCCATACACACACACACACACACACACACACACACACATACACACAGCCAAAGCTTGCCCCTGTGAGAGGGAGGAAGGGGACAGTGCTGGCTGTAATGTGCCACATTTAGCTGGAAGCAGAGAATCAGAGTAAGTATCAGCCTGAATGGTGTTTGGGGAAGGTTGTTCCTCACCTTTTCAAACGGTGACAGCCTGAAGACTTTGAGCTGTTGCCAAAAGTGGTTCCTAATATTCAGTGTGTAACAGTTACACTAGTGTAGAGTCTGGGGGCTGGGACAGCTGACGCTTGTATTTATTGTGACTAAATCTTTGGTAATACATGTTTTTAAAGTTTGCCACCGAACGAATAGATGTTCCAATAAATGACCTGGAATTGGTAGCCTCCTTGTGTTGGGGAGTTCTGAGACCCTGAAGAACAATGAAGAAATGGACCGAATGTCATTGTATTGTTCCTTTATTTCCTGGGGCCCTAGTGTTTTGTCCCAGCTTCTGGTGGCCTTTCTTAAAGGGGGGAATGAAAGGTAGGGTACACATGCCATTTGAACATGGCATTCCTCTACCCTGAAGAGCTCTCTGTCATCCTGTTTGACCTCAGCAGGCAGGGGATTCGATGAGAATCCCAATTAAGCTCTTCCCACCTGAGGCTACAGGTTAATTTTTTTCCCCCAAGAGCTTTGTGGAGTTTTGCTGTTCCCAGCATGGATAGAGCTGTGAGCTTGTCCCACTGCCAGTCTCAAGTCAGCTTGAGATGCCCAATTTCACATTTTGACTTTGTTTTGAGGCAGAATCTTCTGTAAGCCCAGGCTGCCGGTGAACTGATTCTCCTGCTTCCACCTCTCGTGCAGGGATGATTGGCATCCAACACCATTGGAAATATTTTAAACAAAAAAGTTGGGCTGGAGAGATGGCTCAGTGGTTAAGAGCACTGGCTGCTCTTGTGGACAATCCCAGTTTAGTCCCTAGCGCCCACATAGGAGCTCACAACCATCTGTAACTCTAGTCTCAGGGATCTGATGCCTTCTGGCCTCCACAGCCTCTGTACACACATAGTGCACAGACATGCATGCCAACAAAATACTCATATACGCTAAAATGAAAGAAAAAAACAGGCTTGGTGGTGTTCACCTTTAATCTCAGTACTTGGTAGGCAGAGGCAGACAGATCTCTGAGGTAAGCCTGGTCTACATAATGAATCTGGAAGTGCTATGGACTCCATCTAAGAAATATCTGAACCACACCCTTCCTCAAGCCCTGGGATGGTTTGCTGCCCAATGTTTCAGGTGTTGAGGACAAATGTAACCACAGAACCTCCCTTTTCACCAGAGGGTGTGGGTTGTTTCTGCCTAGGCTCTGGCATATTCCAGACAGAACTGGAGTTAGGCCCCTCCCCTCTTGTAGCCTCAGTTGCCCCATCTGTGCCCAGCATGAGAAGTGAGCTCACACTTGACCTTCAGGGCACCAGGAACCTGTGGAGAGGGGAGCAGGTGCTCGGCACAGCAAGGCCTACAATAGACAGCCCTTCAGACTGCCTGGGCCTACTACAGGAGCAGGAGAGGATTGAAAATGTTTTCCATTGTCACCAAACCCCTGTAAAATCACAGGCAAGGCTCCCAGCTGCCTCCTCACCCTTCAGGGTCCCCTTTGAAGTACTGTGAGCTCCCCTCCATTTTCTCATTCCCTTCCTATTTCAGCCCCAGGAACTCCTGCGGTATCACTTTGTCCTTTGTGGGTTGGTTGTGTGTGTGTGTGTGTGTGTGTGTGTGTGTGTGTTTGAAATAGGGTTTCTCTGTGTAGCCCTGGCTGTCCTGAAACTCACTTTGTAAACTAGGTGAGCCTCAAACTCACAGAGATCCACCTGCCTCTGCGTCCCCAGTGCTGGGATTAAAAGGCATGTACCACACTCCCAGCATCCTGTGCCATTTTTAGTGGTTTGGGCAACAGCCTCAAAACAGCTTCACAGTCTCTCCCTGAATACCTCGCCCCACCTGGCATTCCTCACAACTTATAATTATTTCCACATCTTGTCTTATTTTACTTGGCATTGTACTTGAATCCTTGTTGAAGGCAAAGATGGTTCAAGCCTCTTGGAGTCCCAGGTAAGGTTCAAGACATGCAGAACTTGGCTCCACACCTGCCATCCCGCACTTGAGAAGCGTAGGCAGGAGAGTCCAAGTTCCATGCCAGCCTGGCTGCATAGTGAGATGTCTGGAGTAAGCAAGCCGTGGTCTAGCGTGACACGCACACAAACCACCATCACCACCAACAGCAAAGAAATCAGCACCAGTAGCTGGGTCTGTTCTCTGCCTGCAAACTCTTCCACCACCCTAGGCTTCAAGAGACCTGACTACAAATAATAGCTGTGTCTGCACAGTTGACACCTGTGTGGGCCTCAGTTTCCACATCTGTAAATGCTCATTTTCTGCCGACAGGTAGTCCCCTCCTTCCCCCATGCCAATCCCAATTCAAGCATCATCACATCCCAGGGAACGACTACAGAACCTCTAGAAGTTTTTCCAGTTTGGAGAACAGATTCGAATCCCACAACTCCCTTTTGAGGTTTGGCGCTGGAGTCGCCACATACATGGCTTTCTCTAAAGTGCTGAGATCTCCCCTCCCGTCTGCTCCGTAACAATGGTCCACCGCTAAAGCCACTTGCGAGGAAAAGCGAATTTATTGCAGGTTCCAACCTGGCCCTTGGAGTGCACCGTCGGCCCGCAGCTTCTCCGCTCCACTGCCACCCACCGCGCAGCAGGAGCTCATTCCGCGCAGGCGCAATGCTTCTCTCTCTTCTCTTCGCGCCCCTCTTGGGGCCTCCTCGCCAGAAATCGAGGGTGCGCATGAGCCCTCCAGCAATCGGGTTGTGCAGGAGGAACCAGAATCCAACAGCGGGCCTCTGTGGGCCGCCGCCGTGGTGGGAGGGGAAGGGACAGGGCGCGCGCGCAGTGGCGCGCGGCGACTTCGCGGGTTTCCCGAAGCTCGCCGGTCGCGCGTGCGCCGCCCTGGCTCAGGGCCTGGTGCGGCGGGAACAGCGAGAACCCCGGCTCCTAGCCGGAGTCCCCGGCCCGCAGCCAGCCATTGCGCGCCACCTGACCCGCCGAGGGCCGGGCGGATGGGCTGAACTGTAGCAGCTCGGCGATCAAGGATTTGCATCGTTCCGACAGTTCGAGGCCGTCGGGGTAGAGCACGCCGCGCTTCTGGCGCCGGGGCAGGCCAGCAATGTCCGAGTCATCGAAGGGCATGCACCCTGTGACCATGACGTAGAGCACAACGCCCAGGCTCCATACGTCGTATTTCTTGGGGTCGTAGGGGATGCCCAGGAGCACCTCAGGTGACGCATAGGCGGCCGAGCCGCAGTAGGTGGTGCTCAGGTCTGGATAGCCGTGCGCCTGGCGGCCGAAACCGAAATCTGTGAGCTTGACGCGGCGCTCGTCAGGGCTCAGCAGCACGTTTTCGCACTTGAGGTCGCGGTGCACCAGGTGGTGGTCGTGCAGGTAGCGCACGGCACCCGCAATCTGAGAGAAGAGTTCGCGCGCCTGTGACCCCGGGATGCGCCCGTTTCGCTGCACTGCCTGCAGCAAGTCGGTGGCTGCTGCTTCCATCACGATGTACAGCTTCCCGTTGCACACCTCGATGAACTCGAAGACGTGCACGATGTGTGGGTGCCGTACTCCCCGCAAGATGGACAGCTCTCGAGGCAGGAACTTGTTGACGAAGTCCGGAGGCGCTCGCCGACGGTCCACCACCTTGATGGCCACCGTCCCTTTATATTTCTTGGAGGTGGCTACCTTCACCTTGGAGTAGCTGCCCTCACCTATCGTGCGGCCCAGCTTATAGCCAAGTTCGCTCAGGAGCTTGTCGCCCGACATGGTGGCGCCCGGGGCGCGCGGGGAGCAGGAGGCGGCTGCTGTCGGGGGGCGGCCGGACTCCGATCTCGGGCCTAACCCATGGTGCTTGGCACCTGCACCCCCGTGCCCCCATGTGCCCACTCCCAAGGTCCTAGAGCCGCGATGACTTTTATTGCCCGGGTAACAATTTCTGCCTTGTGAAGTGACTGCGGGCGTCACTCAGCCTTGGGGTGGGGACGTCCCCGCCCCGCGCTCCCTAAACCCTCTCAGGCTTTGTGACTCAATCGCTCTGAATGACCGGTTCCTCATGAGAGGGCCCTGGCGAGGGGCAGATCACTACTGTGGACCTAGCGTGGATGGTGGTACCCAGTCCGTTGCCTTGGCCCCTGGAGGTGGGGGGTAGAAAGGGGCGACCTGTGCAAAGCTCGAGGCTGGCCAACATCGCTCAGGAAGGAAAGCAGGTGAACACCAAGGCTTTTATTACAAGGTACGGGATGCCCAGCAGAGCTCCAGTGCCAACCACTGAATCAGGTCCCGTCCTGGGGTCAGAGCAAGGAAGGACTTAAGGACCAAAGCAGGGTTAGCTGACGGGTGGGGAAACCACCCAGGCGACCAGACTTCCGCCACACTCAAAATGGCAACCACACGTCACCTCACTTCCGCTGGTAACCGGAAGTTGGAGGTCTTGCAAGTATGGCGGCGTCGAAGGTGAAGCAGGACATGCCCCCACCAGGGGGCTACGGTCCGGTCGACTACAAGCGGAACCTCCCTCGCCGGGGACTGTCGGGTTAGTGTCGTCCGGTTCGAGGTCGGAGGCCGGGCTTCGGTCACGCGGCTGGGCGGAAGCTGGCAGCCCGCAGGCCTCCGTTTACGCAGTGAGGGAGGCGCGGTTGGGGTCTGGGTTCTCTATCGCAGCATCCCGTGGGACGAGACTGTTCATTTGCCCAATTTTCCAGTCGGCTTCCACAGTTTAGGATTTTAAACCTCGGAGAAACTCAAACTCGAAATTTGGAGACTTTGTTTCGTTTTAGGTTGGCCTATAACTTCTGATGTCTTTGCCGTCACTTCCCGAGGGTGCCTGATAGGTGCGCACCATTATGCGCAGTCTTCTTTTACCTCTTTGCTTCCTTCCTTCTTTCCTTCCTTCCTTCTTTTTTCCTTTTTCTTTCTTTTTTGCAGTTAGAGATTTACTATATAGCCCAAGCTGGCCTCAAAATCGAATTCTGGGATGACAAGCAGGTCCACCCAGTGCAAGAGTTTCTAAGTGTGTTGATTATACCCTAGCGCAGAACCCAGGCCAGTCTGGAACTCCCGTCTGTCTACCTCTGCTCCGTAGTCCCAGGATGACAGGCATGTGCCCACCATATTGAGCTGCATCCTAACACTTTGAAGTGTGTAAAGTAACATTTAGAATTTTTTAATTGATTTCAAAAGGGAAAGAATCTGGAGAACATTAAGGTCCCCACCCTCAGTGCTCAGAGTTACAAGAATAGAATAGTTAGGGGTCCAGTTGGTATAGTGCCTGCCTAGGTTTCAAAGTCCCGGGTCCCACCCCTAGCACTGCATAAACAGTACTGAGTGGTAGACATCCATCATCCCAGCACTTAGGAGGCTGAGGCACAAGGATTGGGAGTTTAGGGTCATCCTGGGCTACATAGACCAACCTGGGCTACATGATGTCGTCTCCCTCTAAAAGAAAGAAAATAATGAACTTAGGGACTGGAGAGATGGCTCAGTGGTTAGGAGCACTTGCTGCTCTTCCAGAGGACTGAGTTTGGTAACTCCCTCCCTCTACAGATTTAGATTTTAATTCAGCAGACTTTTACTGTGCATATTATGCAAACTATGCCTCAACTAAAAAGCAAAACCTTCAGGCCTTATGTGTTGGTTCACCTGTGATCCCAGCACTGAGAAGCAAAGATGGGATCATGACAAGTTCAAGGCTAGCCTAGGCTATGTGGAGAGTTAGGCCAGTCAGGACTATATTTCAAAAAAAAAATCCCAAAACAAGCTGGGGTGTGGTGATACACACCCTTAATTCTATCACTTGGGAGGTAGAGGCAGGCAGGTCTCTGAATTCAGCACCAGTCTGGGCTACAAAGTGAGTTCCAGGACAGCATACACATCTGGTGCCCGTACAAGCCAGAGAAGGGCATCAGATGCCCTGGAACTGAAGTCACAGACGGTTGTGAGCTGCCGGGTAAGTGCTGCAGACTGAAGAGCAGCAAGTGCTCTGTGGTTGTTTTTCCAGAGGATTTCTCTGTGTGGGCCTTGGCTCTCTGGAACTCACAGATCCGCCTGCCCCTGTCTCCCCAGAGTGCTGGGATTAAAGGTGTGCACCCAGCTCTGTTTTCTAGTGTTTATTATTGGGAGTTTGGGAGTGTGGAGGTCTGGGGATGACTTTGTTAAGTCAGTTTTCTTCTATCTCTATGTGGGTTCTAGGAATTAAACTCAGATCACCAGGTTTCTGTAGCAGGCATGTTTACCAGCTGAGCCATTTGGCAGCTCCTCTTTTTCATCTCTTTCTAAGGTAGAACTCACCCAAGCCCATGACCCTCTCAGACCTGCACCATATTCCTACATAGCATATGCCCACAGGACACCTGAGACTAAGCTGCTGGACTCCTCAAGTCAACATCATTTATTTATTTTTAGTTTTTATGTATTCCTGCATTTGTTTAGAGACAAAGCAATTGTAGCCCTTGAAATTCTCTGTAGCTTAGGATGGCTGGACTGGTCCTGTTCCCACCTCCTGTATGCTGGGGTGGCAGGTGTGTGTCACTGAGCCTGGCTTCTGTGGTGCTGGCTGTGGAACCCAGAGTTTGTGCCTGTGAGGCAAGCACTCTGCCGCTGCGCCATCTGCCAGCCCTTCCTTTTGCTTTAAAGTCACCATGTGCTTTCCCCTCGTCTTCAGATCCTGAGACAGCTGTGCTGGGCCTTATTGCCCTGTACCTTTCTTGTTCTGTCGTTGTTGTTCTGAAACACTCATTTATTTGTTTGTTTGTTTGTTTCTAAGACTTATTTATTTAGAGACAGGTCCTGGTTGGCCTGAAGCTATGTAGATCAGGATGGCTTCAAACTGAATCCGCCAGACTCTTGTCTCCCAAGTGCTGGGACTGAAGGAGTGCGCCACCATGCCTAAGATCATAACTATGTGTGCGCACGCATGCAGGTGCTCGTGGAGGCCAGAAGGTGGCGTCAGATCTCCTGGGGCTGGAGTTCTAGGCACCCAGCGTGGGGTTTGCAAAAAGACCTCTGGTTCTCTGGAGAGCAACAAACACTGTTAGCCCCAGTCATGGGTCCAGCCATGACAAGTTTTTGTTTTTTTTGTTTTGTAGCCCAGGCTGGTTTTCCTACCTCAGTCTCATCCTCCCGAGTGCTGGGATGGCACACTGAAGCCCTGCCCCTGCTCTGTGCAGACCCGCTCCCCGACTGGCTGCAGACGGGCGAGGACAGTGCAGTGACAGTCCAGTCTTTGTTCATATCTGCACGTCCAGTGTCCTAAACTAGCTGGTGGGACACGCATGTCAGATTGCTTCCGGTCCCCTGCTCTCTGTATGCAGACCTCAAGCTGGCATCTTCCAAGCTGGTTTCTTCAGCTGGACCTGGCATCGCCAGCACACCTTACACCATGCTCAGCCCTGGAATCATTGTTGCTGTTATTTTTGGGTTTTGAAACAGCTTCGGGGTGTAGTCCAGGCTGGCCTTGAGCTCAGAGATTCCCCTGCTTCTGCCACCTGAATGCTGGGCACCAGGTGTGGCACCAGGCAGCTTATGTGATTTTTATTATTGGTGACTTGACTCTGTATTTTTTGTGCTGTGTCATTATCAGATATTAACTCTGCAGATATTTTTCTTCCCTGAGGCCTGTTGAGCTAACAGTGTCATTTAGAGCACAGTTTCTCTTAAGGAGCCCTGCTGTGTTCTACTGGAGGCTATTTCTATAGTCACTGTTTCTGTGGGGCACCATGCTGTAGTGAGGGAAGCCGCAAACAGTGGTCCTTTCACCCTCCTCCCAAGTGTGGTGGTGTAGGAAAGCACCAGGCACTTGAGCTCTTCTTTCTCTGCGTAGCCCTGGCTGTCCCAGAACTCACTCTGTAGACCAGGCTGGCCTCGACCTTAGAGATCCACCTTCCTCTGCCTCCCAAGTTTAGGTTAAAGGTGTGCGCCACTGCCCAGCTCTTTTCTTTTTCTTTCTTTTTTTTTTTTTTTTCAGGATCTGATAATGTTAGCCTGGCTAGCCTAGAACTCTATGTAAACAAGGTTGAGGTATCAAGATCTGCCTGCCTCAAGGCATTTGACACCACTTCTAACCTTTTTTCTTTTTTTTTTCTTTCTTTTTTTTTTTTTTTGAGATGGGTTGTCATGTAGCTTCAGCTGGCCCCAAACTCCCTACGTAGCTAAGGATGACTTTGAACTCTTGATTTCCTATCTCCACTTTCTTTTTTTTTTAATATTTATTATGTATACAATATTCTGTGTGTATGCCTGCACCACACATATGTGAGGGGCACCAGACCCCATTACAGATGGCTGTGAGCCACCATGTGGTTGCTGGGAATTGAACTCAGGACCTTTGGAAGAGCAGGCAATGCTCTTAACCTCTGAGGCATCTCTCCAGCCCCTATCTCCACTTTCTAAGTGGTGAAGTCACAGGCATGTGTCACCATTCCTGATTTATACTGTTAGGGGTGAAATCCAGAAGTTCAGCCTGGGACATCTTTAGCTCTTGCCTTCAGGCCTCCCTCCCCAGGTGAGCAGGGCCACTGTGCACCCGTGTGCGGCCAATGCGCCTGTGCTGAGCAGACTCCTCTCTCCTGTTAAACTACTGGGACATGTTTGTCCAAAGCTATACAATGTGGGGGTTTATTTGTGGAACAGGGCGTCTGGTTCTGTCCTGCTGCAAACGTGACTGTCCTTGTGCAGCCTGTCTGTGTGCACACAGCTGCCTGCTGAGTTGGGAGCTGTCACTTTTGAATCCAGGCCATTAATGCCCTGGGCACTTCTGCATAAACTTCATGACCTGACTGTGGGTTTCTGCAAAGGGGGAAGGGTTGAGGTTCTGATAGCCATTGTGTTGGATCTGCACTGTTTGGGGGAGCACTGCCACCGCCCTCAAGTTCACTGATTCAGGATGAAT